TGGCAAAACTGGTACTTTCAGAGCAGTGTTATTTTCTGAGGTATCCAGGCAAAATATAACCAGTGAAAAATACTTTCTGGTGGAATAAGATTAAAGGAACTCTCTTAAATCTCCACTGTAACTGTATGTATAGTTTAGATTGAATTTTAAAGGGTGAACTAAAACCATCAAAGATAGATTTCTTCCCAAATTAAATTTTTGTTTTTGCTTTTGAAAGTCATGAATGGCTTAATACAGGGTTTAACACTGAATGACTGCCTTTTCCCTAACAATAGTGCTTTTAACGGGAAACTAATAAATGTGTTTGTGATAAGTGGAGAAATTGCCCATGTGTATAGAAATTTTCAGTGCTGTCTTTATCAGAAGAAAGAATGTCTTTTATAGGAAGGCATTAGAATTGACAGGCTCAAACATCAAATGCCGGTAAATTATATAGAACTGTGTGAAACACCTGCATCAGACAGTCCCTTAAAATAACCACCTGCTTATAGGAGCTTGAAAAGCATGAAAGATTCCTCTCCTGTATTTCATGAAAAGACCAACACATGAGTGTTCTTATCAAAAAATAATAGCAAGGGTTTATAATTGCATTTAAAACTGACCAAAACAGCAATAATGCCATTAGACTTTGAAAAGATACTGTTCTCCATTAGAGCAATATTTGTCTGAGGTGTTCTACAGCTCTTATTTATGGACTAGGTTATTTTAAAGTTGTCATATTTGACTGGCAAGTATCATTCAGTATTGTAATACAAAATGTAAGTAATTTCCTCAGTTCAGAGATCAAAATTAAATGAAAATACTCCAGCAAGAAAAAATGTATCCATTTGTTTCTTCTATAACATTTGATCTTGACAATTCCTATTTAATGTATTTATTTCCCCAGCTATGGATTAATGTATGCTCATAGTCCATTTAGTAGGTTTTTAGGTATTGTAGAGGTGCCAGGGATTAACCAGTTACAAGTAGCCATTTTCAACTATGATGGCATTTGAAGGGT